GGAAGGCGAGGTGGTGGTTGTAGGGGTTGAGAATGGGGAGATAATTTGCGGGGTCACTAGTTCAGGTTGGATGCAAGTTTGAATGGGATTAGATCAACGGCCCTAGACTGCACCTTCCATCCGAACTCGGAGGTGACACCGTACAGCTGCGCGAGGTAAATGGACTGCCTTTCATGACCCGTAATACCTTCCTTAAGCTCAGACCCGTGATGACGCAACATTGGAAAAAACACCACACATCGCGAGACGCTGCGATCGTGGAGTCATCTTCAGAAGTGTGCAAAATCTTGAGTTGGACGGATCTTGATCATGTGATCAGCGCTCAGGAGGAGACAGCAGTTCAGGCCGCATCAGTTGAGCAGCCAGGTGAGGAGTTTGCCAAGACTCTGCTTGATAAGAGCTGTCTTACGTATGCTGATGTCCTGCAGGCCATCAATCAGGCCAACTTGAAGCCGACCGTTTCAAATCGCATGAACAAGATAGAGGGCACTCAAGAGAAGGTTTCCTTGTGGGTGTTTGGAGCGTGGGTGAAAGGGGGTTTGAGAGGGATTACGTCGTTGACTCGACAACATCCTTATCTTACGAGGGTTCTAGTGAAGTACATGAAGGCGAACACTTCGAATCCTTTCCTTTCGGTTGTGGTTTCACGTGATTGTGTGTTCAGGCCGCATAAGGATCCCAACGACCACAACAATCAAACCACCCTCATTGGTCTTACCAAGCACTGCGGAGGTGAGTTGTGGATAGAAGACGAGAATGGAACCGAGTCAGACGAGCCGCCCAAGCTGGGTACATTGCACGCAACCTGGAGGACAGGTCGTAACGTTTTGGGGCCAGAAGCTTCATGGGACAGAACCTTACACGGGCTCTAGAGTTGTGGAGATTGCTTATGTGCCGCGGAGCTGGGAGAAGCTATCAGATGCTGACATAGACGCCTTGAAGGATTTAGGTTTTCGGTTGCCTAGTGGAGGTAGTCATAAGGTTAAGTCCTTGACCCAAGGTCCAGCCGGATCACCCGACCCTAAGGACCCTATGCCTGATTCCACTCAAGGTCCAGCCGGATCACCTGACCTTAAGGACCCTAAGCCCAAATCCCAACTTGGTCCATCCGGATCACCCGACCCTAACTCTGCTGAGCCTGAGAGCACGGCGACAGAAGCCGAGGAGCAGCGCGAGGAGCCAGACCGGGACGGGGATTTGTTCAGGGATTTCGGAGTGGTTGGGGATGAGTGTCTGGAAGACTTAGGAGAAAGCCATGGATCCCAAGCCGCAGCCGTTTGCCATGGACTTGCTGATTACAAGGCGAGAGGCGTCAAGAGGCCTCATCGAAGAATCAAGGTCAACGACTTGTCAACTGGAGTCCTCTCGATCGACATTGCGGGCCCATATCAAGGGTCATGTGATGGGAATCGCGTTGTACTTGTGGGAGCCTTCAGGACTGACGACAATCATGTCTTGCCTTTCATTCGCTGTCTGAAAAGGAGATTGTGGGAACATGTTGATGCAGGAATAGCTTCAATCTTGAGCGAACTTTATGCATTGGTCGGAGAAAGGGCTGTCGCGCGCATCCACTCTGACAGGGCAAAGGAGTTCTTGGCGACAGGAGTCATGCAACACTTGAACGAGGCGGGAGTGCATCAGACCACAACTTCAGGACACGATCCAGCGGCCAACGGATTGGCCGAGAGGATGGTGGGACTGTTGAAACAGCAGGTCCGAGAGTTCATTGTCAAAATGCAGGTACCAAAGAAATACTGGCCTTACTTGTTCAGTGAAGCGGCGCGTGGCATGAGAGATTTAGTGCTCGGACCATCGTGGCAAGGATCTCTTCCCTATCCGGGAGAGGCGGTGGCAGTGAAGGTCATAGACCCTGCACCACTGGATGCTCGGGCTGAACCGGGAATGTTTCTGGGGCGAGCGGATACCGCTACCCATGGAGCATTTGTGCAAGTGCATCGCAATGGAAAAGCAGAGGTGATACTGACTAGACTTCCTGCGCTCTTAAAAGAGACAGACAAGCAGTGGAGAACATTCACATCTGAATGCGGAGATCTTATCTGGGTATCTAGCGCCGGAGAAGCTAGAAATGCTGATGCCGTACGTGATCTGGGCATTGACCTGGGACTACTGACTGTGGAAGAAGCTCAGAGGGGTTGCAGTCCAATGGATGGTTTTCCTGTGGTTGCAGCGATGACGTCGATTCCTGAGAAGGGCAGCAAGATTGCTAAGGAAAAATACACAGTGGTCAACGCGGCATTTGAAGATGAGATGACAGACGCTGAGGAGATGCTGAAGATTTTAGCTGGTCAACGTGCATCAGCTGAGATTGTGGACACTAGCGTTTTCTTTAAGGGAACAGAAGCTGAGCGAGCCAAGTGGATTGAAGCGGCCAAGAAAGAGATGGCCACCATGCATGAACAGGTTGTTTGGAACGAGCTGCAGGAGTCGAACATCAGGTCGGAGCTGGGATTGAAAGAAAAAGATCCTTTACCTCCAATCCTTCCTATGAGGTTGGTGATGGCGAAGAAGCCAGATCTTGATGCTGAGGCTGAGTCTAAGGGCGGAGCTACGCTTGAAGCTGAGGCTGCGGAGGCTGCGTTCAAGGCCCGAGTACGACTTGTAGCATGCGGGAATTTTCAACCCAATGGCGAGATCGATGAGGATGAGATTGCGTGTGAAAACCTGAATCCGGAAGCCCTGCGGTTGATCTATGGAAGGCTGGCTTCGGAGCCGGACTGGGAGGGACTGAGTCTGGATATTTCAGCTGCATTTCTGAATAGCCTATTGCCAAAGCACGAACGCATACTGCTTCGACCACCTGCAGTACTTGTGAAGCTGGGATTGGTTCCGCCGGGAGTGCTGTTCTATGCCAATAAATCCATCTATGGTCTGAGGAGAGGGCCGAAGGACTGGCAGACAGAGCGGACCGAGAAGCTTCATATGGCAGTGGCACCGGCGAGCGATGCATGCAAATATGGCGATCTTAAACTGGAAGAACTTGAGGAGTGCAAGGGGGTTTTTGTCATTAAGGATACTGCTTCACGGAAGGTGGTGGGAATTTTGGCAATGTTCGTCGATGATGCTTTCATCTTTGGACCCCGAGAGATTACCTTAAGAATCAAGCAGCTGATCGCGCAGACTTGGAAATGCCAGGTGCAGAGATTCTTGACGCGCAGTGCAGATGCAGAGATCAAGGATGGCGATGAGGTCATCAAGAAAGTCGATGAGATCACATTCTTGGGAACACAGGTGTCTCTTCATGAAGATGGGGTTCATGTTTCCCAACGGAAGTGGCTGGTGAGAGAACTGCATCGGAGAGGATTCGTTCATCTTCGAGGCAGTGAATCCTTGCCAAATGTGGACATGACGCAGATTCCTTTGATGCCGAAGGATGCTCCAGGTTTCGCGAATTTCTTGAAGAAGGCCCAGGGAGAAATCGGAAGTTTGCAGTGGCTGGGACTTAAGACCAGGCCGGACATTCAGGCTTGTGTTGGAATTCTTGCTTCGCTGCAGACTTGGAATCCTGAATGGGTGGTTAACGCTTCAAAAGGAGTTTGGCGATACTTGAGAGCGACGGTGTGGTCGGAAATGATTCACCACGAAGGAGGCTCCTTGGACATCTATGCCGAATCAGATGCTAGTCTTGCTCCGTCGGGTTCTCGATCTAGGACTGGGGTGGTTATTAGTGTAGGCCAGAATATCGTCTTCTGGAAATCATGTCGGCAGAATCTTACAGCGTATTCGACTTGTGAAGCCGAAACCGATGCATGCGCTACTACGCTTTATGAAGCCGGCAGAATCGCGGGGATGATCGAAGCGATAACCGGATACAAACCCAAGTTAGTCCTGGTTGGAGATAATGCGGCAGCCGTGACGGCCATTACCAAGCCGGACTTTAACCCACTCACCTGGAGAACGAGGCATTTCGCTATGAGGTGTGCGTGGGTGCGGGACATGGTGCATCGCGGCTACAAGGATGCAAGCATTTCGGACATAACGTGTGAGTGGAAGTCTGGAGCGGAGCTTACAGCAGATGCTCTCACGAAGATTTTGCCCAAGCAACGGCTTGAGAAACTTCGAGGACGGCTCGGAGTACATGTGCGCCGACTAGGGCGATGAGCTTTTTGATCATGCGGCACGGGGGACAAGACTTCCAGCACCACGAAACCGTGGAGCCGGAAAGGAGGAGTGTTTTTGGAACCCCCTGATGCCCATGATATTTTATCCATGCTCTTGATGCAGAGCTGCGTGTTTGAAGTATTAATTAACTTCTTCTGCGAACTAACTGTTTCTATCTATGCTACTCAGTACAGAAGCACATCACATGATGCACACGTACGTGTTGTGCTGTGCGTTTGAAGAGTAGCTGTCGGAGTAGGAGAGGGGCACTGGCCCGAAACAAGAAAAGAAGCAAGACCTCGAAAAAAGAAAGCGGAATGGCTACGGGGCAGCCATAACTAGAAGTAGAGGCTTGCGCACGTCAGTTTCACATGTTCGCACATGCATGTTTTTGCAGTTGACATACGCTTGACTCAAAGGTGCCAAGCATGTCAGAGAAGCCATTTACACGACGAAACCGCGAATGGCTCAAGTACGAGAAAAGGCCGTGGGCCGAGTGAGGGGTTTTTGGTTTGTTGAGGGTTAGTTCAGGGTGTCCCGTCGGTGCGAGTGTCGCGGCTTGTGCAGTGCTCTCTTAAACACCTTCGAGAACCCCTAAGCCCCTCTTAAGAAGCCTACGCACAGTGAACGATTGCAGTCGAGTGAGATCACGACATTGCAGAGTTCCTTCAGTGCGACGGACTAAGATCACGACATTGCAGAGTTACTTCAGTGCACGGGAGCACTGGCAGAGATTTTGGTTGTAGTGATTTTTAGGTCGTTTGGTTACCCTAGTGTTTTTCCCGATCCCGGTTTAGGAGGTCCTTATCGTACCCTAAAAGGCTCAAACGTCAAGTCGGTGACAGTGGTCACGACTAAGAGCTCAGGGACTTCAGATTTCGATGGAGCTATCGCCGGTTCCTACGCATTACTCTGTAGTCACCGATGGGAGCCATCATGGAGGCCCATATCAACAACATAAACGTGCCCTAGTGTGTTCCACTTGCAATGTACATCCGAGGCAGGGCTTCAGTGTCCCGGACAAGGCTGTCACGGATGCCCCAAACACGGCGGCACCGGCCCCGACAACGGCACCGAATGCCTCAGCGACCCCTGGCGGTGGCTCGACTCCCTCTACCACGACGGCAGATCCCAAGAAGCCGGCGGCGGCCAAGGGGAAGGCTAAGGCAAAGGCCAACCCCAAGGCCACCTGGGACGTCCGTAAGGCGAAGCTCTCAACGCTGGATTCTACTCCCTTCCCTTTGGTCGATCGGCCCGAGACGAAACGACTGTTGGAAACAGCCGTGCTCGGCAAGGCGGGAGTGCTAGCTGTGGATCGAGTTGTTCCGTTTCTTTTGTGTGCTCGACTCGATCAGGCTGGAGCTCACGCAAAGCTGGCCGTGCAACTCCGGGGACACAGTGCTTCGGAACGTGCCTTGGATGACCTCGCCAAAGCAAAGGATGCATTGGAAGCAGCATACGAGGACATTGGCCCAATTCAATTGTTTTTTTTCTGAGCTTCCTGTTGGGCTCTGATGGTTAGCCTTGCACGGAGGACGTGAAAAACGTGCCGCAAGATGCCGAAGAGAACATCTGGAGCGATGCCATGAAGGCCTGAACTTCACGTGCTTGGAGATGTTTGTGCCTTACGACATATGATGCTTAACTTGATTGGTACTGAAAGGCCTGTGCTCGGATGTACATCTACTATGGCAGCAAGGAGGACGTGTTTCTGTTAGCATGCCCTTAGCCAGAATAGGGTTTATTTCTTTAGACCAGAAAGTATTGTTTCGCAACCTGTCCGCAGGACTTTGCCCGCAGCTGTGCCCGAAGTGTGGCGAAAACGGATCAGGATTGAGCTGCTGATCGTCGATCGGGTCTCTGGGTGTTCTTCACCCTGGGTGTTTTGCACACCTCGGTGTGCTTCTGTTCGGCGGGACCTGCCGGCTTGCTGTCTCGACTGGGGAAAGCGCTTTTGCAAAAGTTCTTCTTGGCATGCAGAGATGTGGCTTACTGCTCGGCTCAATAATTATAGTTTGGGGTCGCTTGGTCCTCGCACGCAGGTGCACATCCTGAGCCTGGCGATGATGGTAATGATGAGTGTCTCGGGTTCATGATTTGTGTTGCTGTGGGAAGAGTCTGGTGATCAGCAGCATTGTTCATTTCTGCAACCGAGGCCTGCTCCGTCTTCCGATCAGATACCTCGAGGATTGAAGAGAGCAGCCAAGAAGCTCTTCCAACGTGCGGTCAGGAAGAAGCCTCGACCCACCGTTGATCTTCGCGATGTGCCCGCTCATTTGACAAATGACTGGCATGGTTATTCCAGGCTGGAGCATATTGCAGAAACTCCTATGGCCAGCACTGTGCTCAATGGGTTAAACAAGAAAGGTGCTGATATCAACTGGCTTTGTCGGGATGTTTGTGGTGCTGCGGTGAAAGAAGGGTCCAAGTTTTTTTCAGACACGTGTCATGTCTACGATACCATCAGAAGATGCATTCCACCGGAAGTTGAGAAAAGAGCTGCCAACGGTGGATATGGTGACATTGCCGGTGCAAGTTCGCAAGAAGCTGGGGCAACAAACCTTCAGTGCCTTGTTTGACATTCATTAAACCGAAAAGGATGATGCCTGCTCCGCTTATCATTCGTACAGTCTTCGGGCCGAGGCCTTGGCATCCAACTTCCGTAACCTGTGCAATAGTCCTGGTTGTCGTGCCGCTCCAAATCCTGATATAAATCATTTCTTGAGGCCTGGTCAAACCAAGCCGATGGTTTGAATGGTTGCAGAAACACCCCGAGCTCCTCTGGCATATGGTTTATGGGACGAGCACAGCCCAAGAACGGGAACAGTGCCTGGGCTACAAACAGGGCGACACTATCACGATCGACACGTTGCTCATGCCTGCTGCTGCCATATATCCTTCTATATTGCAGGCTGCTGGATCTCATCAACGAAGATTATTCCTTACGCGATGTCGTACGTCCTGAAGGCCATGTGCAGGTGCAGGGACAGGACGGCCCACCTCCCCTACCATTTTTGCCTGCTAGGTCCAATGGGCATCTTCGTGCGAGTTCACGGGGATGAAGGTCCATTCTTCAAAAAAAGGAATCTGCTCGTTAGTCGCTGAGCTTCCCTCACAACCACGGTGTGCCTTATTTGCAATGAATTCAGAACATATCATTGACTATTGCTCTGGTTCACTTAAGCTACAAAGACAAGGACACCATGATGACCCGCCTGGCAATGTGCTGCTTGGCTGCCTTGCCTCCTGCATGTGTCTAGAAACGTGCTTCCCTTTGTCTAACTTAGGTGCCATTCCGGGGCATCTTCTTGTTTCCCGGGCCAAGTTCCCAAAGGCTACCACCACTGTGGACGCAATTATGAAGCTGCTGGCAGCCGATCTGGATGGATTGTGCTCCAGCCGAGTATCGTGCATTCTGAATGTAAGGTAGCAATACAAGGATTGGACATTCAGTGAACTTTCCTTCCTAAGGTCTGTCATGGTTCAAGGAGTCCGTCGCCGGGTGCGGTTCTTCGGAATCAAAGGAGATTTGAAATGGCATAGCCAAGTCTTCAAATTGTGTGCCACTCAGACAGTGATTCTAATTGGCTTGGTCTTACGAGTTGCTCTATGTGCTAGCACGTGAGACATCTATTGGACCACCTAGTCCTCGCCATTGGAAGGGAAATGGAGCTGCTAAAGGGAACAGGACCCCGGCTTGCATACATTCCCGAGAGCATGCAGCACTAGCACACGTGGCGGTTTGCACACAGGATGTGTCACATCTGCAAGTGGCTCAGCTGCAAAATATGTTTGAAAACTTTGCAAGTTACGACTGTTGACCTTCATACATGACATATTTGAGGCTAGCGAGCACGGACGACCCCCGAGATGGCAGGACTCACATGGTTTTGGGGTCGACACACTATTTGAATGTGTACGCCGACTCCGGGTGGCGCTTTTCTGACGAAACCCAGACAGAGCCATATATTGCAATAAACACAGATCGTATAATGCCAGTTCTTTTGAAACCTCTTTAGCAATCTATATAGTTCGATCGAAGCCCAGGAGTTTTGCCAGACGATGAAGAATCTTGCCGTGCCGCCTCCCATCGTGGATTTGCCAGGGTTCTCGAACGCCCTAATCTTCGACGATACGCTTCATGTGGCCTGGCGAGGGTTTGCAGCGGATTTCCTGGCAAGCTCTCTTATCAACATATTTGGAAAAGGGGCGGCTCTTCAGAAGGCTTGCGACATGGCCGGGCTGCGGGCCAAAGCTCGAGGATATTCGCTTTCCATCGATGAATTCAGTCTATCCGAAGAGCGATTTTCTTCCTTGAATGCCAAGGGATATGAAATCAAACTGTTGTGTGTCTGGCTGGCAGCATGATCGAATGAGTAAGCTGTTTGCATTTGACCTATAGCTGAGGCAACATATCGCTTGATTTTGCTCTGATGCCGTGTGCCCTACAACTACAGGCTGAGATAGCTCCGGCCTACGCACGATCCCCGAAAGCTTCCTCCGACACCGACCACGCTGATGTTCTCTCAATGCCACTTGTCTTAAGGCACATATTAATTTGCTAGAACTTTGCACAGAAACTTCCACAAGCTTGCTAAAACCGTAGTAGCAACAAAGACGATTCGTCCACCGCCGGTTCTCGCCCAGGACTGCCCGAGCTTTGGCGATCAACATCAAGATACTGGAGAAGCAAAAGTATGAGATCACACGGGAGGATGTCGATCGAGGGGTCCGAGCTTGCCATCGGTTCGTCGTGGGCTATATCTGGTTGGCATATTCCTGCTATCTGGATGGACAGAAGCTGTACAAGCTACGTCCTAAGACGCTCGAGTTAACAGCAATCGCACGGGGTTGTTCTGCAACGTTTTCGTTCGGAATGACTTCTTGCAAACAGTTACTGCCAATGCATGTCTGTTAATTGAGGATTCACACCTGGATCCACATGTGGGAGAAGCTCATGAGATGCAGAATCAACCCTCAGCTGAACGCTTGCTTTGCAGACGAGGATTTCATCAGGCAGATGTGCAACATAGTTCTTCGGCTGCACTATCAAGACACAAATGCTTCCAGTGTCTATGTCCTCTTTAGAACCTTTGTGCAGATACGGCCGAGGCTTCTGGATGTGGTCCGACTACAGCTGGCAAAACTGCCATGCGAAGGTACCTCGCTTACGTAGTCGTTCGCTGGAGACGGAGGAGCTAAAAGCAGGGCGATTTGATGTGCATCTTGCAACTGAACTCAGCTCACCGTGTGCACTGTCTGAGCAAGCTCTCTCTGCTGCCCCTGAGGTCCGCTCTATGTGGCCGCCTTGTAGTCACACGCATGGAACCAGGTCCTATATCCCGGAGCTCTACTAAATTCAACCGTTCAACCATCGAAGCTTGTGTCAACGATGGTTTTGCATGGGAAATTCAATCATTGACATGTACATATAAATGTCAATGATTGAATTCGCAAATCATGCATGGTCTCATGTCATTTTTCCTTTTTCTGCATTTGTTTTCAGTTTTCAACGAAAACAACCAAACAAAGTGTACACCAGAAACGAAACTCTGTTCTCCCCAATGTTTGGTATGGCTCCACGACCACAGAAAAAAAGTGACATTGTAGCTTTTTCAACACAAAAAGTAACATTGTTAACTTTTTGGTCAAATGTAGGTTTTTTTTGCTACGTTAGACTCTCCAGGAATGCTGATGGTATGGGCACAGGCTGCCACCGCAGATGGGCCCTTAGCCTTGCCGCGGCCCCAGGCTCCCTGCAGCCGGCTCTTCCAGCTGGCCCCGCAGGCTCCACCGCACGTGGGGCACCAGCTGAAGCTGTCATCCTTCCTAGAAGCAGTCGCGCATCTATTCAAACCTGCCCTTCGCTCGTGACACAGAGGCACGCAGCAGTTCAAACGGAGCCTGGTACTTGGAAAGTCGGGCCGGTTATAACCAGATAGCCCATGTACTAAACACATACCGTCGACTTCCAAGTAGATAGGCGACTTAGGCTATGTCAGCTTAGTCGACTTAGTTCTGGAGATTTTTTGTGCACTTACTAAGTGGGTTTAGGGTACATAGACAACCCAGTTAGTTCAGTTATAGTTGTACATGCTAAGTGGACTTAGGGCAGATATCAAGTGGTCCGTAAGTGGGAAAATCTTGATTATTTTAGCTGCACCAACCACTGTAAAAATGGTTTCAAACTTGAGCGGGAGCCTACACCCATATCAGAATTTTTGTAAACACCAAAGCAAGCAATCCCAAAAAAAACACCTGGAGCCGTTTGCACCTGCACCGGGCCGCCTGCGGCTGCCTGCAAATGGGGAGGTGGTCAATGCGTCATTTCTTGATGATCGTTCTGTGTGTCAGGGCTTGTTTTGACTTTTGGCGCTTTTCCAGATTGCACGAGGCTTCGTTGAGGCCTTATTATTACTGTAGTCGGTCGATACACATACGATGAATTTCTACATAAATCCTTACAGTTCAAACTCTAAACCCGAAAAAGTATATACACACCAAAGCCTAAGTACAACTGAAAAGGCCAGACTGAGGTTCAGTGCACTCGATATTTCCGGATGTTGCTAGCGAGCTGCAAAATGCTGGGGCACTACATGGATGAAACGATCACCAGTCCTGCGATTGATGCAGGGCCCACGAACGGAGGCGGGACGAACGAAAGAAGCATTGTCTTCGACAATTCTGAACTTGTTGTTGGTATCAACAACCTTCTCGTAAAAGCTTACACAAGTGAACACATGGTCTTGGAATTGGCAATGAAACAGCACCTCAGCTACGGCTACAGGCTCGTCCAGGACGACAACGTCGCCAGTGGAGATTAGAGGGCAAAGGGGTACCGTAGCCTTTGAGCTGAAGAGAAGTCCACTGGCCCCACGAAGGCCAAAGTGGGTTGCAAAGGATCGCTGCAGTGGCTCCGGTGCGGCCACGGGCGTCTGCAACTGCGGAGTGAAGCTCAGCGAAAGGCGGTTCAGTGCCTCGAGATGGGTGAGTTCCATCTCTCGCAACAGGCCTCTTTCAGTGCCTGCCCTTGCACAGTTTTGGTTGTTTGCGTATCGCTTCAACTCTTTGTGGCGTCTTTCGTGTGTCAGACAAGAGATGAGGATCCCGTGCTGCGAGAGTTGTCCTGGAAGGTGCATCGCCATGTGCCCTTTCGGCAAAAAAGTTTCGTCAGGATACACCTCCTGATACTTCGCCAAGTGTGCCTGCACAGCCGTTCGGAGAGCTGCTGGCTCCACACCCCCATGCAAGCTCAACTGGAGGAGGTCCAAGCACTGACAAAGTAAAAGGAACGAGCTAATGGCACCCAAACAATCTGCCGACAGCTCTGTTGTCTCCCTGATGCGGTGGATGATGTCCCGGAGGATTGGATACACCCCGAGAGCTTCGCTGGCCGAGCTCTTCCAATCGGAGTCGCCCTTCTTCGGCTGGAATATGTTCTTGATGGTACTCGCTTTGCCTTCGTGGTAAGATGGCAAAGAATACTCCTGAAGAGCCTGGTGAATGACCTCCTGCTTCACCCTCTCCTGGTTTAGCCTGCCCAGAAGCAAATTGACTTCTAGGTGGAAAAGTCCGGCCACACAGAACACGTGTGCCCAGTCGAACATCACACCTTTGGTGGGGTCGAACATGGCCATGAGGGGTTGGCAAAGTAAAACCCCCTGAGGAGCATGGTTGAAGCCGAGGTGGGTCTGCATCTCCTCAAAGTCTTTCCGCGAAGTCTCATCCACTTTCGATGCCAGCAAGTTCACCGTGGCCGTGAGCGAGTTGAGACTGTGGAGCTTAAACCTTCTGCTGTCGGTACACGTGTGCAACTCCAATGCCGGGTTCAGCGGTGTCGGAGCATATCGCCTCAACACAATGTTCCGGCAGAACATGCACGGGACCTTTCCGGAAGCACCTTTGCACTCAAACATATGCTTGAGTGCACTCTCGTCGGCGACAACGATGGCAAGCTCAGCGCACAAAACCATGCCTGGCAAGGCGAGCCCGAAACGGAAGTCTCGGTCATCTTCGCTAAAGCTCAGCATGCAGTGCTTTGCGAGCTGACTCAACCCGTCAGGCAGATCTGCAACCGTCTTGGATCGCACTGTAGTCAACAGCATCCAAGCATCCTCGCGGGTCAAGCTGGTGCCGAATTCTCGGAAGCTCCAATAAAAGGTTTGGAGCTTCCGAGCATTCGTAACCTTTAGTTGATTGCCCGGCGACACTTCGTCGGAATACAGCACTATCCCCCATCGGGAATTGATGGTGGCTTGCTTCCTGTTCAACATCTCCAGCATGAAGCTTCGAAACAGCTCGCAACAGTTCAGCCGATGCCAGAGGCAGGCGGCCGGATCCAAATAGTCGATTGCAATCTCTCCTCCAGTTCTGTTTCCGAGTTTCCACTGTTTGATCATTGGACCGAATGGTGTCTCAGCTGCCATTCTCTTGTCCCGGGCCCGCTTCACGGAGCTTTGACTGATGCCAGCTGGCAAGGAATCTGCTTCCTTCACTGCACGTAAAACCTCTGCCAACCCATGTTGTGACACGAAGCTCTTCCTCCCGACTTTGGTTAGGTCCAGAGGCGGCATGGGTGCGAGCCAAGCCCTGCACCGACGGATCGCGAGCCGAGCCCTGCAATCCGAAGAAATGTCTATATATACGATCGGATGATTTCGTCTCCAAACATAAGTGTCCCAGCTCATGATGCATGTTCTGGCTAGGATAGATGTGAAAGGGTCTTATGTAAAAGGTCATATATGATCATACAAAGCTCAGTTTTCAGGCAGCCATGCAAAGAAGATCCGACTTGAAGGGCACAAGCCTCGCAGCATGCAAAGGTAGCACAGTTGCTCTATATCAATGCAAGAACAAAACACCTGCATATGTCTATATACACCATGGTGCACCATGCATGATAGCAACACCCACATATTTATGTACATATATGCTATGTACCACCACCGAAACCGTCCAGCATACACCATGCACGGCACCACTGCAGCATCATTTCGAACTACCTATCCACCACCAACACGACGAAACCCTATATAACTATACCTATATATATATATATATATATATAGCCTATATACATAAATCCTTTACACACACCCATACAAACCCTAAAAACCCTGAAACCTATATTAGGACCTATATGGTTTCCATCATATCCTTTCATAACAACACCATCTGCATCTGTGAAACGATAAGACAAACCGAAACATATCGGCAACAAAGCCACACATACCACCCAAACCCTAAACCCTGAACCCTGAACCCTATATATATCCCCTAAACCCTAAAACCGGAAGGATGAAACCCTAAACCCCTATAGCCCGAACCCATTTTGTAACCTATATGTATAGTAAATAAATCTTACAGAA